GTGAGTGACCCCGTGAGTGCGACACAGAGCGACGCATCCAGCCTGCTGGCGGTGGTGGCGCGTCGCGCGCGTTGCGTCGGGCGGCAGACAATGGCCGCGAACAAAGCCGCCGAACTGACTAGCCTGCCCGGGGCGCCTCTCCTGTTGCTGCTCGGCCCCCTCATGGCCCTCATGGCCCTCACTCACTCCCTCCATGGCGGCGGGGCGCCTCGGCCGGCCGGCTGAGCGCGGCCGTGAGCGCTCTGTGTTTGCAGGGGGAAACCGCGGGAACTGATCCACTGCACCGACGCGCGGAGGGCGCCGCGCTCCGCCGCTCGGCCCAACTTCCCGTTGAGTGCAGCAGCGGCTTCAGCAGCAGCGCAGACACCGCCAGATCCGCTAATCATCGCGCTTCCCTCGCGGTGGAAACTGCGGTTACTCACATGCGGATAGTATGCAACCTCTCGGCTGTCGCCCAGCAAAAGTAGCGCAGGATTCCGTTGCGCACCAAGTAGTGATGCTGGTAGGGGTAGGTTGGGAAGGAAAAGTACAGGGTAAGAAAAGTTAAACCCTTGTGGATCTGATGTCTCGACCTTTAGCCATCCCTCGACCAGTGATTTCAACTAAACAGGAAATCTGAGTGTGAAAACACTGTTAAATGGATGTCATGGACCGGCGCAGTAGGCCACAAGGGGGGTGTACTTTTCTTACCCTGTACTTTTCTTCCCCAACCTACCCCTAATGCTTGGCACTCGTTTTTGTGACATGAAAGTGTTCCCGATACCTCTCTTTTACGTTGACATGTCCCAGCGACCACTGTTTTCAGCTGATTTCTTTGCTATGCCTTCCACCGGCCCTCTTCGAGCGCCATCGGCCGTGGAATGAACCAGGCTACCACAGGCAACTCAATATCGAAGCGTCCCGTCCCATCGTCCTCATCCATGTTGCATTTTGTCTCCCCACAACATTCCCATCCCCATCTGGCGGGGACGCTGCCACCCGCGACATCTCCAAAGGTCAGCGGAGCGTAAAACAAAGGTCCTGAAAGTAGCAGCATCACACGCCAATTCTGGAAACTTGAATGGGTAAAAATAAAAGTCCTCCGTTCAGTCAGTGTCCTGGCCTTGGTCCGGCTGCCCATGCCCACGCACCGCCCTCGGCCACGGCACTGCCACGGCACGGCCCTTCACCAGGTTATCCGCCGCCGACCCGCCCTTTCCAGGGGAACCGCCTGCAGCGGAGCGGATCGGATTGAAAAATAAATCCTGTCCGATCCGTGGAGCTGGCTGGCCTGCTGTCTTTCCAGCGCCGAGGGCGGACGGGGCGAAGGACACGAAGGGCAAGCGAAGGGCAGGCGAAGGGCAACGAAGGGCGCACGAAGGACAAGCGGAGGACCGGCGAAGAGCAGGGGAGGGGCAGGGGCCCTCGCTGCTGGCCCCGCACACCTCCACTCCACTGATGCGCTATGGCTGCGGCGAGACAGGGCGAGGCCGAGCTGACCCGGGTCGGCGCCAAGCTGGCTGTGATTGTGTTTGCATGACGGGCAGGCCAGGGGCAGGCGGCCGGCCTCGCCTTGGGCCTCGCCTTGGGCCTCGCCTTGGGCCTCGCCTTGGGCCTCGCCTTGGGCCTCGCCTTGGGCCTCGCCTTGGGCCTCGCCTTGGGCCTCGCCTTGGGCCTCGCCTTGGGCCTCGCTTGGCCCTTGGTCGCTGGAGCCTCGCCTTGGGCCTCGCCCTGGGCTCGCTTGGGCCCGCCTGGGCTCGCTGGGCCCGCCTGGGCTCGCCTTGGGCCTCGCCTTGGGCCTCGCCTTGGGCCTCGCCTTGGGCCTCGCCTTGGGCCTCGCCTTGGGCCTCGCCTTGGGCCTCGCCTTGGGCCTCGCCTTGGGCCTCGCGCGCCGCCTGCAGGAGGCCGGCAGCCCCTTGCAGTGGCCTGGCAGGCGTGGACCCTGGCGCCGCGACCCGCGGCCTGCAGAATAACCTCTCTGGCACCAGCAGGGGACGCCGCTCGGTTTTGGGGCTGGGATGTCCGGGATGGCACGAGGCGGCTGCCACACCGTAAGCATTATGAAGGCCCCAGCGTGCCTTGGCCACGGGACCCGCGGGATTTCAAAGGGAAAGGACGTCAGGATTGTTATGTTGTCCCCCCGGGACTGATTACAGAGCCCGAGGGCTGGGCTGCCCGGGCGGGGGCCTCGCGTCCCACCACCACGCCACGCCCCGCCACGCCCCGCCACGCCCCGCCACGCCCCGCCACGCCCCGCCACGCCCCGCCACGCCCCGCCACGCCCCGCCACGCCCCGCCACGCCCCGCCACGCCCCGCCACGCCGCATCCTCCGGCTGGACGCGCTGTCCGAGAGCTGCCCTGCGCCCTGCTTGCCTAATAAGACGGTCAAAGACGGGACGCTGTTGGGGGAGCCCAGCACCGCGGTGACTGCGGAGCGCTGCGGAGGGGAGGACGCATTCCGCCCTGCCGCTCGTCCCCACTGCCACACCGCTGGCCACCTCGCCGCCCGCCGCCCCCCGCCCCGCCGCCCCGCCGCCCCGCCGCCCCGCCGCCCCGCCGCCCCGCCGCCCCGCCGCCCCGCCGCCACGCCGGTCCACACCCACCCGTCCGTCTCCACGACAAAAAGCAAACAACTTGATGGGATGGCTGCGACCGGCACACGGAATGGCTTTGCTGGCCAACGGGGGCCGGCGGGGGCCGGAGCCGACGGGAACGCGGTGAAATGGACAATCCCCTTTCCCCTCTCCGCCTCCCCGTCCACCGCGCGCCGCGCGTCCGCAGTCGACGACGAAACCTTTATCAGGCGGAACTAGGACTTCGGCTTCGAGCAAACAACAGCTTCGCCAGACTGATCGGCCACATCAGGAAGCGCATACTGCACCACCACCACCACGGTCTCTAGGGGCCCGGCGGTGCGCTAGACCCTCGCCGTCGAGCCCCTGACGTGCACACCACCCCGCGACAGCCAGCCCTGCCCCGGCACGCTAATTTGCCTAACGACCTGTTTTTAGTGCATCCGGCGCGCCGCCGACCCGACCCAAGCGGGGCGGAGCGTGGCTGCTTCAGCATGCTCGCCCCGATGCTGCAGTTCGAGAGCGTCGCGCACTGTAGCGCTCGACCAGAGAAAGGCGCATATGACTGAAACATGACCTCCTTCCACCTGCTGCCCTTGCGCTTTGACACGGCGGCAGACTGTCTGCTGGAGCTTCTGCGTCAGAACCTTCTGGATCCACGCCTGTGGCAGTGGTCCGTTCGTGGAGCTTGGAGGCGTGGCGGGGCGTGGCGTGGTGGGGCGTGGCGTGGTGGGGCGTGGCGTGGTGGGGCGTGGCGTGGTGGGGCGTGGCGTGGTGGGGCGTGGCGTGGTGGGGCGTGGCGTGGTGGGGCGTGGCGTGGCGTGGCGGGGCGTGGCGGGGCGTGGCGGGGCGTGGCGGGGCGCGGCGGGGTGTGGCGGGGCGCGGCGGGCTCGCGGGCCTTATGCAACGGCCGCGCCGAGCCGGCTGAGCCAGGCCAAGCTGGCCGAGCCCGCCAAGGCGCTTATCGCAAACAGAATAATGTACGGCCCTACATTTTATTGGCGAGTCCGGGACAACAAGTATCTCGGCATTGGCTCGGCACCAAGTCAGCCGGACCCGCTTCGGCCGCTTCGCTCGCTTCGGCTCGGCTGCGTTCCGCTCCCGGTTTATCCTTCCTAGGTTTTCGCCCGTCGGTCCGAGAGTGCCGCATCCTTCCATTCTCCCGGCTGTCGCCAACAACGGCGCGCCGCCGCGACACGCTCTGGTGCAGTGGAATGGTGGAATAAAACAACGGCGCGCGTCACACGGCATCACGGCGACGCGGCGAGGCGCGATGTCGCCGACCCACCGCGCCCCGCCCCACCCCGCCCCGCCCTTGACCTCACGATACGGCGTTCATACCGGCAGCGCGGCTGGGTGGCTGGGACCGGGGCAACGCACGGGCCGACGACCGCCGCTTTCTGGTCACTCAATCGCCTTGGAGCCTTGGAGCGTGCTCAGCGCGCGGCCGCTCTCGCTCGCTCTCGCTGCAGACATGGTTAATTCCATTGTCGATTCATGCGAGGGCGAATGCGGGCCGATACAGCCTCGCTCCGCTCTGGGCAGCTCGCCAGCTACATTGCTGGAAAAGCCGGGAACGGCCTGGAACGGCCTGGAACGGCCTGGAACGACCCGGAAGCATCTCGACGAGCCGCTCCTCCGGACCCAGGGGCTTCCCGTCGCTCCCGCCCTGTGCGCCCACCCCCTACTGGGCCTCGGCTCCGGCCTCAGCCTCGCCCGCCTCGCTCCGAGAGCCCTCCAGCCGACCGACAAAGCCGCCTGGCGCATTGGGAATCGGCGCAGCCCGGCGCAGCCCGCCGAGTTCGCTAAGACGGGCCGGCCAACAGGTGCGCCCTCCTTCGCTGCAACACTAAACCAGCGAAGGGTGGGTTTGACGTTCGGTGCAGCACTGTGTCCGAGGGGGTAAACACTCCAGTGAACCTTGTACAGACTACTCCCTATTATG